TCACACCCCAATTTTCTGCACTTATTTCTGGGACATCCTGCTTATGTGCAGGTGACGTGGGGAAGCTATATTGTGAAGCAGCAGACAGAATCGAGCTCGGAAAACCACATTCAGGACAAGAGACTGCAAGGCAGTGAAGACTGGACTTTTTGCTGGTGTAAAAAGTTGATGTTCCTATTGCCAGACTTTGTACGTATTCTGCTCTACAGCAGCAGAAGTTTGTTGATGCTGCTGCTACTTTTACACTTGCCACATCACCATAAAAATCGCCATCACCACTGCTACTGTTGATATTTTCCAACGATACGCGAAGCTAAAATATTGTTACCGGAATATTGCCCATAAAAGACACAATTAAAAGAGTTTAATATTAAACATGACATAATAACTGACTTCAAATTAAGAAATTTTACAAGCCTATTCAATACAAAATGTTAGCTGTGATGTCCAAATTTGAAACTCGACACGTCTGTTTTCTGTAGGTCTGTGTTTATTAGCTTCGTTGCCCCCCATTACCCCTTTTCACATCACAAACCCTACTTTCTTTAGAAGAAATTTTCTATTATTATATTATAGACTATATCTCACAACTTGTAATTTATTTAATTAGTCTGCAAATAACTGAGATTATTGTGAGTAGAATGATAGGAGAGTTGCAGAGTAACGAATTGAAATGTATGTGAAAGAAAGCGGTTGTGGGCTAATGACAGGTACTATACAGGAACTTGTCTGGTGAGATTGAGGAAAACCACCATAATATCCGTCGGTCTTGCAAGTTTCTGGGCCGATATTTGATAATGGAACCGACCGGCCATCAAGCAAAAATGCCACCCACACGAATGTGATATTAGGTTAAGTTTCCTTGTACTTAACTAATCAAGCACTACGCCATGAAGGCGTATGGGGGAGTGGATCTATAGATCCACATTATCTTGAACTCGGCACTAGTTGGAGGTGAGAGGTCAGCCTCACGCCCCGACCGCTTTACTCCCGGTATCCATTGAGTAAGAGGTTGGGTTGTAAGATTTGAGGCTTTCACGGCGGTGACTATGAAGAAAGCAGTCTTCTGGGCTTTGGCACCGTGTATATGTGGTGTTAACCGACGTTTCGGAGGAACGTATCGCCTCCATCTTCAGGGTAGAAGAAAAAATATAAGAAATCTGCAAGGGAAGAGACCGTGAGAAACGGTGAGAAACAGTCTGCTTTTACCGTTGGGTTGTCCACATAGTCAGTCTGGACTACGTGGAGAAGATAAAATTCTTGACCCGGCCAGGACTCGAACTCCGAGCCCTCTGTCAACCAGCCCGTGGCCAGTCGCTATACCGACTACGGTCTCCCAGTTCCAGACATTAAGTGGCAATTATTTTTATTATTACAAACATTAATTTAATACATTACCGCGATCATCATATTTACTTTTATTATAATGTCATGGAAAAATTGTAGAGAGCGCGAGAAACGATTGTTAGCCCAAGCGGTTCCATATGGTACTCAAAGTTTCTCACGAGTATGTATGAGTGATATCCACCCACATACAATTTGGGAAGTACAAACAAACAAAAAAACTCCGTGACCTGTTTTCAGAAAGCGAACTATACCGATCGAGCCACCGCCGCTTGTTGCCGAAGTTAGTGCAAACTTTTGTGGATAGAGGGTGTCGCGTGGTCAGCGCAACGAATCCCCAAAACAGTTAATCTCGGTTTTTCTAGACCGGAGCCTCTATTTCCTTCAAATAACTCCTCAATTATCCTCATGATGCTGAGTGGACCCCGTTCCAGGCCCACTGCTTCTCAGAAAATCTTGTAGCGCTGGGGATCGAACCCGGGATCTCTGAATCTGTGGCCAGGAACTCTGACCATTAGACCAGAGAGGCGGTGGCGATTTGGGAAATACAAATAATAATGTTCCATTGGGGGAAGGCACTTGTGAAGGCTATACTTACCTAAGGAAATGGAAGCCGACTCATCTCATGAAAAGATAAAAATATGCTCCGAATTTTTTAAAGAAGGATATTGAGAAGAATTTATGGCCCAGTTAAGGGAAATGGTACATGGGGATTAATGTATAACCATGAACTCTATAAATTATGTAACAAACCAGATATAGTGATTGCGATCGGAGTAGGGCGGTTGAGGTGGCTCGTACAACTTTTTAGAATGCAGGGACACAATCCTTACAGGAAGTTAACTCCATATAAATCAGAAGGTACTTAACGAATAGGCACATCTGCTATATAGTGGCTGCATTCAGTTGCAGACGGTTTGGAGACAACGGGCTTTATAAACTGGAGACGAAAATTACACAATCGAGACCAAAGGAGTGAAGTCGTAAATGAGGTCAAGGTTCCTCGTGGACTGCAGCGCGTGTAGAAGAAGAAGAAGAAGAAGAAGAAGAAGAAGAAAGACGGGGACCTGTAATAATATAGGCTTATACTGTTGTCTCAATCATTGCAAACAAAATTGAAACACATTTTCTTAATAGAGGCTTGACCAGTTCTCCCCACAACTTTCTGTTTCACATTAATCCTTAATGTTTTGTTTTGACCGTACGTCGGTCATTCTTTTCCTTTACGCCGTAACCAAACATGGGAGTCGGGCTGGTCCCACCCCTTTTCCTATTCGTGAAGTCCTGGCTTCAAATCTCGGTCCGGAGACCGAGTATATCGACTGGTTCATTGCTGTTTTCCTAAGTCCCTCCAGATAATTTCCAAGTTAATATCTCATTTTGGGCTAAGAACGCATTTCTGCAAATCCTATCGAGCTCATTTTTAATTCAAGCATCCCAACATTCAGCGCTTACAGTATGAGCTACTACCATCATCGTTAAATAAATATATTTTATTGAACATCTTGGTGGAATGATTAGACCCCCTTCATACTCGGAAAGTACTTGTTTCGAATCACTAACCGTGACGTTCCTCCGAAATGTCAGCTGACTTTCGACGGACTGCATGGCGCTATATCCCAGAAGATAGAACTCTTCATAACCACTGCTGTGAGAATCTCAAAGTTAAAGTAAAGTTGTCCCTGTGCTCAACGAATTAAGCACTACCCCATGAAGGCGTATGGAGAATGTATGTATAGATCCACGGTTTCTTGACCTCGGCACTAGTTGGAGGTGAGTGGTCAGCTTCACACCCCGGCCGCATTACTCCAAGGGACAGAGCCCACGGCACACATTGGATAGGAGGTTGGGTGGACCCCAGAGCCGGTCCGGATGACTTGACTACCGGGACTTGAACTCCGACCCCATAGCCCATTGCTAAACCCACTGCGCTACCCCGGCTCTTTGTGAGAACCTCAAATCCTACAAAAAAGGAGAAGGGTGCGAAGGAGTGGGAAAGGCAAATTTTCCTCAAACCTTTCCCTCTGTTTCCGAAGTCTGATAATGAACAGTTGTAGCTATCGACGTGGGGTCCAGACAGTTTTGGAGCATAAATTCGGGCTAAGTTACCAGAAGATACCCACTCTCACAACTGATTTGCTTCTTAGGCCAATTTAATTATGATATATCAACAACGGAGGGTTTATGGTCCCGAATATGATAGGGAGATGGATCATTAATGATAATAAGCCAAGGATTTATTAGGAAATTTCTTTTTATTATTCTTATTGGGGTGAGACTGAGTCCACTCGGTACTGCGGCCACTACCGGCCTATTTTACCAGCCCCAGATGATAGATAATTATGATTATCGAGCAACTGGTGGAATGAAGTTTGGCAGGGCAATCCGAAGTACTTGGAGAAATCCTGACCCAACACCATTTTATCCACCACAAATCCCATACGACCAGACCCGGGCTCGAACACGGACCCCCGTGGTGGGAAACTAGCGATTAACTGCCTAAGCTATGGCGTGGCCTGCAGCATTCTGTTGCACTGTCTTTTGTAACACTCTGTTCCAACTCCTTGACGTCTTTTGGCAATTTCATCGAAATATTAATATTCACACGACTTCGTCTCCTTTATGTAACACAACGTGTTTCGGTGTAATTGTCCATGGCCAGATGCACATACGATACGAGTAAGATTCTGCGTTAAATGAAACTGCTGCTCTCCTACTACGCTGTTCTGCTTTCAATTGTTTGTATAAATGCTTCAGAATATTGTAGGTTATGTTTTGTTATCTTGCCGTTGTTATGCACGTGTCTGGTGTACGTTTCTGTTGGTTTGTTGGTTTATCCTTTTGTTGTGTTTGTGACTGCTGCAGAAGCGGAAGCTTGCCGTTGTTAAGCATAGTCCGTAAATACAATAATACAAGTATACCATATTTACACGCTGTATATATTATTTTAACTGTAATGTACTAGGACAAAGGCGAAGAGCCTTAACAACTTGACAACTTCAAGTTAGTAAAAATGGTGTGTATGTTAAAGTAAATATTTGACACATTTGAACATTGCAAGAAAAGAATTTACTGAAAAAATCCAAACTTCAGGGCACCTACTGCGTTGCTATTTCATTGCATTGCACATCGGTTTCTTGGTGCTGATATAAACCATTCTCCCAGCATTTCGAGCACCTACCGGCATTGTAACCATATCCAAAATGTCGATATTTGAGGTTTCTGAATTATGTTTGGATTGTAGAAGACAAGTTATAGGGACGAACTGGATAATACTATTGCCCCCGAGGGTTGGGAGTGTGTTCAGGCCCCAAGCCTCAAGGAATCCCATCTTGCTTTCGTCCAGCCCAAATTTTAGAATAAATATTACTACTATAACTGATCATCTTTTATTTATGTATACTATCTCTCGGTTTTTGAACACCAGAGATCACGTGATATTGTTCTAGCTACTTGTACCTGATAACAGGGCATGTTAGTTAAACAATTTTGCATTGTCAGATGGTTCTGTCTTTTGTAAAATAAAGCTAGTAAAATACATTTTTTTGCAATTTACTTTGTCGAAACCTGACGTGTGAGCGGTTCTGGCGTGTCTGAAAATGACATCGGGTGTGGGAAATGAGGTTTAAATGTTTTAGTTACTATCGTGTACTTACCTTTCATACGAACACATCTTTGTATCTTGTAACGTTTCACAAAGTAACCAACGTCGACGTTTTAAAGAGAACCAAACTCAGCAGACGCCTTGATGTCACTCGAAGGCACAGGTACGCCCATCGTCCCGTTCAGTTGCTGCTCATAACACGAGACGGACGCCGGGTTTGAAACTTCAATGTCTTCTTTTGTTTTTCAGAAACAAAACACACGCGACAAGCACAATCAGATGTAGGTGGAGGTGGAATTGCCGTCTGACCTCTTTCACTGCTCACACAGGTAGGATTTGATTCAGCATTATCTTAAGCTATCTCTTCTTTAGTACTGAAAATGTTACCCCCTCCTTCTAGTTATAAGTCACGTGACGCGATGCATCGGCCTCCTTTCCTCACTGTTCCTCCTCCTCTTCCACCCTCTTTTCACCCGTCGCTAAACGCAACGTAATACAAATCTCAGCAGTGACAGCTGAGTTAGCCGTAGGCCCTTAAAAGCGGCATTCAGGTAAAAGGAAATCCTGGGGAGAATTTCGGACGCCTGTAGCTAATAAGGCGATGTCTAGCTGATATGGCAAGGACAGGAAGAACAATATAATAAGTCATAAATTTAACAATCCTTTTCTGTGTATAATTTCAGAACCTTTGTTTTGCTTGGGTGTGAAACTTTGTCTCCCACATTAAGAAAAGGACATGGATCATTTGTGTGAGAACGGGTTGCGGGGAAATTATGGATATAGACGTAAAAGGTGACGGAAAGCTGGAGAGAACTGCGCGACGAGGAGCTTCACAGTCTGTAGTCTATATTATTATAGAGTCTAAATTCACGAGGATGCGATGGGCAGAGCATGTAACACGCATAATGGCGATTAGAAATTAATTCATGTCATGTAACCAGGGAACGCGATAAGAAATTGATGGGTTCCGGATTAGACGAAGCTGTTTATTGGATAACCTGTTTCCGTTCGGAAGTCATGTCATTATGTCTCACCTATTATAAATTCTGGCTTTAATTTCCACTGCGCCACACCGTAACCTTCAGTAAAGTAGACAGAGCAAGCACCCTCGCATTTCTGATGAAGAGAAAAGTTCCTCTTCTACCTTGACGGGTTAGGCTGCCTGACCTGTTTCCGTTCGCAATTCATGTCATTATGTCTCACCCAATATAAATACCGGTTTTAATTTCCACTGCGCCACACCGTAACCTTCATCATTATTATTATTATTATTATTATTATTATTATTATTATTATTATTATTATCGGGTCCCTGTTTGATATATCCGAGACATTCCTATGTTCAATATTTGTTCTGTTATTAAAAATTGACC